TTTTTAACTTTTAAACATACTAAATATTTAATGTGTCCCCATAAAATAAGAAAATTATTGCAAAACGTAGAAAACAGCAAATACAATGTTTCTCACACCACTCAACCAAAATGGGAACACACACCATATATATTCTCTTAAAAAGTTACTGATTTCTAGCTTGTTTAAACGTTAAGGTGCATGCAATTATTTTTGGTTAGGAGGTGGGGCTTTTGTCTGTCTGTCTGTCTGACTTTGTCCATCACACACAGAAACCGGGGATTAAGCATCAGCCCAGTGTCCACGTGGCCCAAGTGTTTCTTCCTCGGATGCGGCAGAGGGCGCCGTGACACCGGCTCAGCCGGGACAGCCGTGCATCGCTGCGCCCTGCGGGGCAGAGGCTGTTTCATGCTTGTGGGATTTGGGAAGAAAACTCGCCTAGTCACAAAGGAGGCTGAATGAATATGATCTAACAACACACACAGAGCAGCATTAAAATGTTCGCTCACTAACAAGATTTCTCACTCCCTGTCTGTTGGAGACACTCACCGCCGTCTCTCGCTCTGACTCTTTGCCCAGCAGAGAGCGAGCCGTGCACCCTCCCCTGCCCGTCAGCGCGCTCTGGGGCCGGCGCTGCTGCTTTGAGGCACACGGTCTGCACAGACACGCAAGGAACCGGGAAGAGCCCGCCCGGCCTCACCTGCGACGCCGCCTTCTCGAAGCCGTCGGGGTTCAGGGAGGGCATGATGTGGATGCGGGTGCTGTGGATCAGGTTCACGATGGTCTCGTTGCCCCTCTGGTACTCGTTGCACAGGTGCTGGGCCAGCAGGATGAGCAGCTCCCGGCCCACGGCCTCGTTGCCGTGCATGTTGCCGATGTATTTGAATTCAGGCTCCCCTGGGGACCAAAGCAGACAGGATGGAGGCGTTTTCCACAGCGTGGAAGAGAAGGCAAGTGACCTGCGGCGTGGAACACACTGCGCACCTGGTCATTTATTAGGACTCACACCTGGTCATTTATTAATTAGGACTCACACCTGGTCATTTATTAGGACTCACACCTGGTCATTTATTAATTAGGACTCACACCTGGTCATTTATTAATTAGGACTCACGCCTGGTCATTTATTAATTAGGACTCACACCTGGTCATTTATTAGGACTCACACCTGATCATTTATTAATTAGGACTCACACCTGGTCATTTATTAGGACTCACGCCTGGTCATTTATTAGGACTCACACCTGGTCATTTATTAATTAGGACTCACACCTGATCATTTATTAATTAGGACTCACACCTGGTCATTTATTAGGACTCACACCTGATCATTTATTAATTAGGACTCACACCTGGTCATTTATTAATTAGGACTCACACCTGGTCATTTATTAGGACTCACACCTGGTCATTTATTAGGACTCACACCTGGTCATTTATTAATTAGGACTCACACCTGGTCATTTATTAGGACTCACACCTGGTCATTTATTAGGACTCACACCTGGTCATTTATTAGGACTAGCTGACAGCTTCTCCTCCCCGCAGAAGGGATGCCTGAGAAATCGACCTTCGACCTCAAAATGCTCCGAACGCAACCTACCCCTGTTATGGACTGAATTATGTCCCCCCAAAACGCGTATGTTGAAGGCCTAACATCCAACGTGACTGTATTAAGGAAGTAATAAGGTTAAATGAGGTCATGATGGTGGGGCCCTAATCCAACAGGACTGGAGTCCTGATAAGGCGAAGAGGACCCCAGAGACCTCTCTCGCCTCCGCACAGAGAAAACCATGTGAGGACCCCGTGGAGGGAGGCCCCGGGGAGTCGGCCCCGCGGCAGCTCCAGGCTGGACTTCGGGTCCTCAGAACTTCGAGAAAACACGTTTCTGCTGTGCGAGCCATCCCGTCTGTGGGATCTCGCTATGGCAGCCTGACCCGAGTAGCCAACAACAACACAGTGCTGCCTCCTGTGGATCAAATCCTGCGATTTTCATGTTTCTTATTCAATCCTCACCAAATACCTAAAAGTATTAATATTATTATCCATCTGCATTTTACAAATGAGCAAACTGAACTTCAGATGGTGTAAGACGCCTGGCCATCGTTATTAATGGGTTATTAATTACTAATGCATTGACGGGTTGTAGAATTATTAATACACAGCCCGTGAAGCCTGGATTCAAATGCTGGCCCTGCAGCTTAGCTAGCAGTCTATGATCGGGTTTTGGTTTTGGTATTTCCCATTAACCGTAGGGATGGAGAGGAGCCAGAACACACGGGTTCAAACCCAGCATCAGTCCTCCCGGCTGCCCGTGGGCAAGCCGTTCCCTCACCCAGGCCCTGTCTCCCCACCCGGAAAACAAGTAACAGCAGAGCCTGCCTCATAAGGAAGGTACCGTAAGAACTAGGTAAGATAATGAACACAAATGCTTGGAACAGTGCCTGGGAAATAACAAGTGCTATGTGTTTGCTGTAATTATCTTCTTTTTGAGACAGAGTCTCGCTCTGTTCCCCGGGCTAGAGTGCTGTGACAGCAGCCAAGCTCACAGCAACCTCAAACTCCTGGGCTCAAGCGATCCTCCTGCCTCAGCCTCCCGAGGAGCTGGGACTACAGGCATGC